ATAATTTTAGTGAACATGAACAATCTTGAAGTTGATCAAAATCGTCAAATATTGTGATATTTACCTTTTTGTGTCTTGCGGACAAATTGGTACAATGGAAGTTTCAAGTCGATTTCTGTAAGTCCGAGCTTCAACAGAGCCTTGGTTAGTACAATCTTCTAATGGTAGGCGATATAAGATCATATACTACTAGTATCTTAAGATTTTGGTTTTTCAGAATGGAGTGGCTATTTCTGTAAAAGATGTAGTTTGGGTAGAGATAAGAATAAGCTTGTTACAGAGTGTTGGAACTGTTCACAGACACGGACGAAAGACTACATAAAATGTGATGCATGCGACTCATTTAAAGATATATACAAATGCTTTAACTGTGTGGAGAATTGAAATACCAGTTATTCAAATATTACTTTTCATGACTTGAAAAATTATTTGAGTCCTTTTTAAAAAAAATGTGACTTTGATAAATAGTTGTTCATTTTGTAATTTTCAAGTATTTGAATTTCTCTCTTTTTTGAAACAAAACACAACACCTTAAAACACATTATTTTCATATCATATTATATTTCATTGAATAGATCAGGCAAGTTATATTACGTTCATAATTCAATCTATGATTTTATGCATGAATAATCAAGATGTCACGAAGATACGCTGTGATGTAATTCAGGTGGCAAAATATTTTTCAAATCTTTTCTCGAACAAATATAATCTAAGTGTGCTTTCAATAGGCTTTAACGTTTCAAAATGAAGCAAAATTGTTTGTCTATCTATCGTAGGTTGAAAATAAGTTTTTATCATGTTTTAAATATTAATGTGATGTCATGATTGACAGAACCATATTTTCTTCAAAATTTTTCAATTTTTTCTCTGATACATCCTTTTCTAAATATGATTACAGTAAAGCAATGTTTGTGGATTAAAAGAAGTAGTTGTATCATTCTAATGTGGCCAAGTGCGGTTCGTAGTAGGGCGTATATACACAGATAACACAAGTAATTGTTGTTGATGACGTATTTTATTACAACTGTGACATGTACGTGGATACTAACGTGTGACAAAACAAGGGCAACAGGATTGTATCCTGCAAATAAATAAACAATATAATTATAGGAAACCCCAGTACATCCCAGTAATAGTACGAATCATTAATGCTTGATCTTACTTGCCATGCTTACTCCAACTATGGTGCACTATGCTCTGATTATAACATTACACTATCAAAATGTCCATAAAATCTACTAAAACGCCATGTATAAAGGAAAATATACGAATGTATAATTTACCCATAGAAGATCAAACAAATGCAGTAATCAAACCTAGTTGACCATAGTAGACACCTGTCAACTGACTCCGTGCACTGCTTGTCTTCCCTAAAATATACATGGAATAATGGTAAGTATGTACAAATGTCCATACCTTAATGGCAATCCATTAACCTGTACACCTAGCATGGATAACAAATGTTAACAAACCTAGCTTATGTCGTAGGTTGATTTGTACTAAAACTGACACAATTATGAAATAAAAACATAAGTCTTGTACACTGAACCTTGTTATATAAAATGACCTATAGAATATCTACTAAATGTGATATTCTATGGAATGGAAGGAGTATATAAATGACCATCTACATGTACATACCAAGTAAGTGTTATCCTATACTTACAATATACAGTATACCAATGGTGTAAGTCCCTGACCAAATGTGCTATGTTCACAAGTATGGACCCTCATAACATCATAACACTCATAAATCTGGATGAAATCTTACTCTAGTATGGATCCCTAGACTGGATGTAGCCTTAACTCTAGTACAGATCCCTAAAACATCATTACAAATATTCTCACCAGTATGGAAACTCGACATTAATCCATACAAAATCCATACAAACATCATAATGTATGACCTGAATCACCCAGATTGCATTGAAATAGTATATTACACTTTAAAATAGATATAAAATGGTAGGGGTAATGTAATGTGAACTTATTCAACATGTCCAAGGACATACATGAGAAATGAGCTTGAGATAAACCCATTCAAAATGGCATAAAAGTACACAAATATATAGTGGATATAATAACATGTCAGAAATAGACACCAAAATGTCATCCTATGCTAGTTATGTAAAGATATTAACAATTTTCCAAAATAAAAGCCATGTGCGAACGAAAATGCAGACTCTGCACCGGAAAGAGATCATTAGAACATGAATTCGCACATAAATCTAGTTTCCTCCAGTAATAAATCAATACCTTAACCTTGATAAGAAACTTTGTCATAAATCTTACAATATATCGAGGCAAATGGGTGTAATAAAGATGTAAAAAATGGGTCACATACATCACCTTTCAAACATTTGACATTTTGTTCCAACGATTGCAGCGCCACCAGCGTTCTTCTTGAGAACTAAAACTGGGGACCTGTCATTATTACGTACTTAAGCTAGGGACCTGTTACGTTACAATGCACTGTGGCATGTCACTTTGCCACACTAAATATTTCTTTACGATTGTTTTCAATGAGGATTGGTATTTTCTGCACATCACTGACACTCATGGCCAACCTTCCATTATCGTGAGCCCTATATAATTTTTTGGTTTTAATTAATTCATTAACTCAATTGAAACATTTGTACAATTTTACATAATATACAATGGTTATAATGGTACTTACAGGTATACATAACTTATTGGTTACAGATTTTACTATTTCTTAGTTTCAAACTTGTGTTTAAACACTAGCTGGTTTCTACGGAATTTGTTCTCAAAATCTCCTTCATTGTTATAAAATAAAATTTCTTGATAAACCTATATCAAGAAATTATCTTATGGATAAATTAATTAATTACCTTATGGATAAAAATCCCACATCATTTGAGACTGAATGCTCTATCTTGTATGAGTACTTGTATCTACAACTATTTTTGAGGTTATGAGTATTGGCTATCAATTGGCTATCACTTTCTAATTTTTTCTTCAACATGTATTGTAATGACTTCAGTATGAATGAAATGTCCCTTGGTCCTCTGGTCTAGGATTGTGATATTGGTTCTTGAATGATGGGGGAAAGGGGGTATTAGACATTGTTTCTTTTCACTTTGAATCATGGTTTTGGGACAAGTTCACCTCAATTTAGGAAAAGGACATGGTGAAATGGTCAATATACAACTATTCACATTTTTATGAAGCCGCTACCATGTAGGGGCTTTTGAAACCCTTGGAGACCCCCTCAAACGGGTAGATTACTAGTTTTGTTTTAAGGTGTGCACACCATTAAAAGGCGTCATAATGGAATCTCATGTTGTGTAGATACATTTAACTCATTCCATTCATTATCTACATCTTTTTGTTTGGGAAATAAATATATAAAACTGAGTTCAAAAAAGTCACAGCAGTGATTTGTGGGGTCACTATGGTTACTGATCTCTAGTTTTTTCAATGTTCCATATAAATATCCAAAGAATCTGTCACTATAAGTGTCACTATAAATGAGGTATAAATCCAATATATGTATGAACATGTGTTAAATTCTTATGAAATAATAAAGGTGGTAGTATCAACTCACTGATTCCATACTTATTTTGAAATTAAACCAAAGAATGCGTTTTCGGGCAATTCCAAGAGTGTACCATTTCTTTGCCAAAATTGTGTACTTTTCTTTTAATGATCATTTTTCTGAGATTTAAGAATATATTCATATTTAAAATTCTAACAATATCAAGATTTATGTTTGTCTTATAGTTTGGAGGCACTCTAATTTTATATTGATTGGATGCAATCAAATATGACCTCCTTTTTGTACCATTCTGTGTGTGTTTTTCACTTACTTGATGTATTGAGGTGACCTTTATATTTGATTGGTTCATTGCAGGCCTAACCCACTCTTATTTATGCCTCGATATAAATATTATTACCAAAGGCACAATTTAGAGATGAAATTAGTGGGGCTTAGGCCTGCGGAAGCATCGTAAAAGTGAAGTTGAACAAAAAATATTAGCACATGATCAAGGCAGCAATTTTGGATGCTGACTCTACTCGCACTGCATACCTACAAAGTAGATTAAGAATATAACTATACTGAATCATAACTTAAGGGAAATTGGTAACCTGCATAGAATGTCAAGACAAGGCTGTCCCAAGGTTTAGAAGGTGCATTATCCCTAGCTCATTTGAATAATTGACGTAACATCAGGATATCATCAAGTCGATACATCATGATATCCACATGCTAAGTCAATGGAACCAAATACAATAATAAAAACAATAAAGTCAGACTTCCTATTGAACATCAAAGGTTAAATTTTGCACACAAGAATCTTTAATTTTCAGATATGTACTGACTTGACCTTAACAAGGTCACTGTGACCTCAATAACACTTAGGATCCACCTGAACACTATGCCATAATTAGCTCCTCAGAAAATACCATATAATATGTCATAATGATTATGACTGAAATAAGGGGATTTTTATATACTTAGTATGACGGATCCTTTTACACACATCTGTGGTATATTTAGGGCATCAAACCCTGAAAGTATGGAATTGTATGGTTTCAATCATTAAAAGTTATGAGCATTCCGTGATTTTTTGTAATATAATTTTGGACCCTTACCTTGACAAATTTTGATTCACAGGTCTGATATTTATTGGGACAGGTGGGGAAGGTCTGAACATTGTGTTAAAAGTTTTGAAAAAGCAGCCAGAGGCTCAATGCCAATAGGCCTGTATGAAGAACCTGTCAAACTACTTGATGAGCATATGTCAACCGAGTACAAGAATGGAAAATCAAAAAGCAGCCAAAGGTTCAAAGACTGCCCTTGTGGAAAACCTATCACAGATAATTGATATACTATGCTAAAGCTTGGGCAATACAATGGGAATCTATTTCAACAATGGTTACTTTACTGTAGATTTGGCCAACCTTCTTCCCGCAGTGTTTACACTGACTTATACTTCAAAGAGCAGTTCAATTATGATACCATCTGAACGACAGACCTGATTTTAACAGAAGCTCCAACTCATAGCCAAGACACATTCATACTGCAGACAGTTAATGCTGTTATTGCGCTTGGTAAAGCTTCAACTGAGAGACTCAAAGAGAAATGTGGCAGAAGTGCCACAGCTGTATGTGAAGACTTTGGTACAGCATTTGGAGAGGAACGTACTGTAGCTTTGGACAGAATTTGCTCATGGTATGATAGTGTGGCGAATGTTTGATTCTATAAGTGTCTATTTTACTTGTATTCATGCTATTTCATCTTTATTTCATGTTTTGTACACTGTAATATTTAATAGATTCTTTAGTAAAGTGTGTATATGCAAAATGTCACGTAGGCACTGGGATGTTTACAGGATCAGCCATTCATATTACATACTCAATGAGGATAATTTTTTGTAAAATTAGTCACATGAGTATCTTCTAGTTTTTAGCATTCTGCAGATTGATTAATACTCTTTCTATCCAATATTTTTAAAACTCAGTTTAATGCCTCTTCCTCAACTCACTTAGTACTAGGGTTATTCTTTTTTATTCATTTTAGGAATTTTTGCTCAATAATCATAGATTAATCTTTGTTTTAAGGAATTAAATGTCATATTTACACAGATTATTAATATACTGTCAACTCTTTTCCAGCTGATTTGGATGTCCTATCCAGATGAGGTGACTATATTACTGGCCTATTAGTCCAAACAGTCAACAAGTCAAACCAAGCAACATATGAACACACTATGGATTTAAGATGTAACAGATCTGTCAAAATAAAGACTCTCTGATTAACAGTCTCCATAACATACAGGACTACAGTATTGTAACAATCGTGGGCTACACAGCCTATGACTCATGGTGACTCTTACAAAAGTTAACATACAAAATTCGTACAATTCACAAGGCGATACCTTGTCACTACAGTCTCAGTCAGCAAAGTACAGATGCACTCTGCATTAACTGTAAACAAAACTAGCATTGGCGCTATGTAGGCGTTGGCCAAAGAATACATGCAAGTACAGGACATATATAATACAGTAAAACTCCATACTGGTGAACAATGAAATTGTTAGTTATTTTGACTAAAGCAATGCAATAAGAAGGCTCAGTAACGGCACATCGGACCAGATATAAGCCATTGAAAATAATAGATAGGCTGATGGGTCGTTACACTGCCCCCTTCTTTGAAATAAGTTCGTCCCGAACTTTTACACAATTATTACAAAATAATTAAAAGATAATCAAAAATATACATACGTATGTAATTCAATGTGAATATATGATCTCAAAGGTACATAATGAAGAAATCACATTTATATTAATATCAAGAGTTCAGGATAGCACATGTACTTTGTAGTTATAGTCATTAAGATTGTGTCCTTCTTAAAATTCCAATGAATGTTTAGTCATTTTATACTAAGTTGGCACTTGTCATATCCAGAACACTGCGTAGCATAGTAACATCTCTGTATAACAGAGAGAGTCATAAGTTCATATATGGCACATCAAATACAGTATGAAGATCAAATATATGTAGTAAGCTTCTCCAATAATCCTTGGTGTATGGTTACAGAATGTTCTCTCTATATTGTTGGCTTGTGGTCGACATCTCTAAGCCTGGAAGTGAAACTCCTCTCGTATCATTGCTATGCAGATGTTCCAATCTACAATAGCTACAACTTCCTCCAATGGCCAGCCAACGAATAAGTCTCTTGTACGAGACACGCTACATAGACATTCATATCTATAATAGCTCAAGGGATCATCAACCATGGTAACCACACACATTCAATGTCCGCCTACCTTAAGACTGTGGGACAAGACAAAATAGGCTACAGCTGAGTGACATTGCTGGAGTTCGGCATTTAGGGACCATTGAGGGATGGAGATAACATTTTACAGTTGGTGCACTGTTTTACTGACAGCTTTCGGCACCATCACAATTATATACACTATGTACAAGGGAACTCTGCCTCAAACATTACGTTCACAATTACTCCAATTGTGTAACGGTTGAGCCTAGGTCATCTACTAGGGCAACAAGGTAACAGTTTGGGTAGACAGTCTTTTCTCATTACTTCAGTTGGTAATCAATAATGGAAATGATAAATCAATGAGGCACCAGAGACTGTACATTATCCTGACGCCATCATTATCAGAGATGTAAACTTGGGGTTCATTTAGCAACTCTTCGGATCTATGGGAACCATCTTCCCGTGTGGAGGTATCAACATCACTAAAGGGGGGGAACGCTAATGGAAGCTTTATTCAATGTGTCAATATTGATCAATATTTACATGATATTGGCAATCAGAGACAGTAGGGACAACAGGTAGCACAGGCCACTCAAACCATCTAGCTATAATTAGGGTTCCACTCTTAAGAAACACAACAACCCCGCGGCTTCTCAGGAAATATAAGTCGCCAAGGATACAGGTACACACATAGCAAATGACATTTACTCTCGTAGTAAATGCAAAATACATATGTGGTAAATGTCAGCCACATCAGATGGTACATGGATTGTTGACTGATAACACTCCACATAGGGGACTTGTGACAATCAGCCCTCCTTGGAACAAAAGCTGATTGACGCCAGCAAAAGCTATGGCCAGACATGCTCACTTCTGCTGACAGTCCACTATCAACATTTTGGTAACTATTCTTGGCAATACCACTTGCCAATATCGAGGCAGTAGCTCAAATATCTATCAGACCGTATAAATAACAGATCCCAAATCAGTTCAATGAAAGGGACCACCATTGACACATAAGATGGTTGTATGCATGGTGACCTACTTCTACAAAGTTGCATAGGTTTGCCTGTTGGACTTGATCAGACCAATTAGGTCATCCTTCAGACATTCCATTATCGCTTCTCCCATTATCAGTCATATAATGACTATTTCCCAATATACAACTTTCCTAGTCACCTATATACGATATGGGACAGGTGCACACAAATATGTTGGGACTGGTTAGTAGTAGGATCACTGGGCAGGGGCTTCCTGGACCACCCTACCCAAGTCAATGGCTCTATAATAGTCGGACAGGTTTTGCAGGGATCTTTTGTTGGAGTAGGCAAAAGAAAAAGTATACCAGACGTTCTGATAGGGCTATGGAGATCTCCAGTTGTAGGGAGATATGGCACAACTTTTCCTCATCAATCAGGAAAGCACAAGAGGATCGTACCATCACACACATTTCGGGCAAGTGGAATGTAAGGGGGAGGGGCATATTCGGGTCACTGTATAGGTACGTCTACCCAAGCTATCTCTCAATTATAATCATGCCCAGCACGACCATCATCGAAGGAAACTCACTAACAGGACGGGAACAGGGTACAGGGGACATCCACACCAACACATGCATAATGTATGTGCTTTCAAGACATGACACTGCTAGATGTTCCAGTGAGTCATGATAAGACAGGGTTTTACAACTAGGATCTACAATTTTGGCTTGGGAAGATTTGATATGTTTGTATGTTAGGTCCCATCTACATACCAAACCAGAGGGTCTGTGGTAAAGATACGTACCACTTTACACTTTGAAGTAGAACAACGGGCCACTTCACCAACCTAAATCGAAACAGTCCTGTGGAATGCTACAAGGACTGGGTCTCTGAAAATCTCAAAATGGCCATCCACACGCACCAGTGTGGAAAATAAGATTAAATTAGCATCAAACAAAAAGTTGACACCATAAAACAACTCAAAACAATACTTCTTTAGAATATTTAATAAAAACATAAAGTGGGTCTAATTATTAGGTAATAATTAAATCCCGACGCTGCCACCAGTGTAACAATCGTGGGCCATGTATCTGCCATACAAGTGTAGCATGGCCTTGGCATAACACAGTCCCAGACTGTTATCTTATTCCCAAAGCAGTATCATTTCAAAATTATCATTTAATAATAAAACAATTACATGTGGGTTTATAAGTCTGTATTAAGTCCGCATTAATATGTGAGAGTAAAGTCACATGTAGTCAGTAAGGATAAGTCAATAGGATCATCCTGCTACATACATTGGGGTTATAACTATGTGTAGTCAAGGATGAGAAATGGTATTGGTCACCTCACTTGATACCAGAGGGGTGTAGCCCAATGTAGCCCCGGGTATAGGGTGGTATGGGGACCCTACTAGTTAGTATAGGGTTGCAGCCTAATGTAGCCCCGGGTATACGGTGGTATGGGGACCCTACTAGTCAATATAGGGTTGCAGCCCAATGTAGCCCCGGGTATAGGGTGGTATGGGACACCTCACTAGTCAATATAGGGTTGCAGCCTAATGTAGCCCCGGGTATAGGGTGGTATTGGTCACCTCACTAGTCAATATAGGGTTGCAGCCTAATGTAGCCCCGGACCAACGGTGGTATGGGACACCTCATTAGTTAATATAGGGTTGCAGCCCAATGTAGCCTCGGACCAAGGGTGATATGGGACTCCTAACTAGTTACTTTAGGGTTGTAGCCTAATGTAGCCTCGGACCAAGGGTGGTATGGGACACCTCACTAGTTAATATAGGGTTGCAGCCTGATGTAGCCCCGGTTATAGGGTGGTATTGGACACCTCACTAGTTACTATAGGGTTGCAGCCTAATGTAGCCCCGGACCAACGGTGGTATGGGACACCTCATTAGTTAATATAGGGTTGCAGCCCAATGTAGCCTCGGACCAAGGGTGATATGGGACTCCTAACTAGTTACTTTAGGGTTGTAGCCTAATGTAGCCTCGGACCAAGGGTGGTATGGGACACCTCACTAGTTAATATAGGGTTGCAGCCTGATGTAGCCCCGGTTATAGGGTGGTATCGGACACCTCACTAGTTACTATAGGGTTGCAGCCTAATGTAGCCCCGGACCAACAGTGGTATGGGACACCTCACTAGTTAATATAGGGTTGCAGCCCAATGTAGCCCCGGACCAAGGCTGGTATGGGACACCTAACTAGTGACTATAGGGTTGCAGCCTAATGTAGCCAAGGGGGGGGGTCAGCCTGATCACCTATATTCACACACCAATTGTGTAGCCACCTGTAGCTCGTATCTGGGAAAGTGGGAATGTGAGGGGGTGAGGGACTAGTCACATACAGCAAAATAGCCAGTGTGACTGAGGGAGGGGGGGGGGCGTTGATTAGGGGAAGTCTAAATGTCACAGTCCGTGTTAATAGTCAATGTTAGTGGGGGGGGGGTGTATGTATAAGTGTTAATCTCACCAACACAATAAATCAACATAATAAAAGCAATTAAAGATTAACATTAATTAATTCTATTTCAATTGGAAATCATTCATTAATACAAGTTATGTTACATAAAGAATAAGATCTGACTTATATAGTGTAAAATATACCCAAATACCACGCAACTCCTACATGGCTGCAAATGGCTCCAACTAGAGCCTAGCTACATTTGGCTAGCAACCTGACAGCCACATGCAGCTTCCATTACAGTACATTGGGATGGCCTGAATCACCCCAAAACTCACTCCAAAACGGGACCCTGGTACCAATACATGTTCTACCGGTATAGTGGGTATAATTAACACTAACAATTAAGCATAATTACCGTAATTAGAGGTAGATTTTGACAAGAAAAGACATGATTTGAACTCAAAGTTACATGGAAATTACATCAAAAGTTTGACTCTGAATAACAACTGAATCAGTTAATGAAATGCGTTGAAACTTCTTGACCAATTAAATAACTACTTCATAATTACCTTAGAACACCATTCACCCCGATTAACGAACGGAAACTGCTATAAATCCAATGTAGTTGAAGAGAAATGAGCAACCTGTTTTCCACCATTTTGAGATTTCCAAGAGACTGATCACACAACACGATTACATATCACTACTCACATAACAAGATGAATTACATTTTAAAATAAGACAATTCGAAGCACAGTAAAGTTATGTACATATATATAAACATGTATTTAATAAATTAGACACACTAAATAGCGTACAAAGGTCAAAATAATCACAACAAGGCAAGATTAACAATGGAACTATATCCTTAAGCTGAGTAACTGCAGACACTGAAGTAGTGGACAGGCTACACAGCCTATGACTCATGGTGACTCTTACAAAAGTTAACATACAAAATTCGTACAATTCACAAGGCGATACCTTGTCACTACAGTCTCAGTCAGCAAAGTACAGATGCACTCTGCATTAACTGTAAACAAAACTAGCATTGGCGCTATGTAGGCGTTGGCCAAAGAATACATGCAAGTACAGGACATATATAATACAGTAAAACTCCATACTGGTGAACAATGAAATTGTTAGTTATTTTGACTAAAGCAATGCAATAAGAAGGCTCAGTAACGGCACATCGGACCAGATATAAGCCATTGAAAATAATAGATAGGCTGATGGGTCGTTACAGTATTCATAAATATAATATTTAACAACATAAATCAATCTGCATTTTCTATATTATCAAAATCTGATTACATACTTGAAAACTAGAGTGAAGTTCTGACATACAAAAAATATTTAAGGAACATCTCTTAATTTGTTGATATTTGAGGCATTCATAGTATGAGTGACGCAAATACATAATTCACCATTTTGCCTCATATTTGTTCAAAATGGCAGCATATTTCGTGAATTTGAATGTTCAGTTGAGAGTTAATATTTAAAGATCGTCATAGGCCTAAAAGGTCATGCTGCCACCTTTTACTCTAGTTTTACTTAGTTTCAAGTATGTAATCAGATTTTGATAATACTGAAAATTAAAAAAGTTATTAAAGAAAAAGTGACCATTGAACAATTTTGTCCGGGCTACTATCTCTATTTACAAAATAAATACATTTTCTATATTTTATTGAAACCTAGTTTTATCCTGCTAATGGAGTACACTAAAACATGTCCAAGTGGAACACCTTTGGTACCTCTAAAATATTTTTTTCACTTGGAATGTGTTCCACTTATTCTGTTATTGAGGTTCATTTAACATTATTAAGTCATTTGATCCTGAGACTGAAGTGTTCAACTAACAGAGGTGTTCCCACTTCTACAGATGTTCCACTCTACAGATTTCACTGTTTCTCTTTTGCCTGGGTAACATTTAGTTGTATTCAGTTTTGAACAAAATATACTTATCGGCCGGGCACCGGTACTGGAAATTGGAACAAATGAGACCACGGCATAAGCCTTAGTGTAAAGGAAAATATTGGGTAAATATTTATTTTTCTGATTTATCTACATATTCCTTGTGAGCAATTTGGCTTTTTTAGTTATTCACTAGAAGAATTCTCCACGAGCAGTGTTTGCTTTCACATTGTAAGAATTATACTAGAGGAAAACGTTGAATATAATTTTTAAACAAATTATCCTTTTTTGATAACGCCGAGTCATGTGTATAGATGGCATTCCCCAGACCCACATAGAGGTAAAGCATTCCGAACGGGCACATGCATTAAATTGATTTGAGAGATGTAAATTAAAGTCAAGGGTCATCACAATCCACAAAATATCAGTTTAAAGCCCTAAATATTCATTTCACTAGAAGAATAGCATTGTTGGATTCAGGTAAGGCTCATCTAGTATTCATATATTCAATTGCCATATTTTATCATTTGAAGTCAACTCATTTAAATACGAATGGTATGAATACCTGCACTGTCAATATTTTTAAGATAAAATAGCGGGCAAATATACAGTCAATCGGCAGCCGGTAATTGAATCAGGGCAAGGGCCGTTAAGAAAGGGGACCATAATCCCGGGGGGCCATCATTTCTTTCACACCGGGTCGTAAACGATGTGTACATGTACACGAGGCTTGAAACTGGAAAGATTTTTTACTTTTCATGACTTAAAAACTATTTTACTCATTTGTCATTGTAGTCAAAAATATCATAACACTAACAGGCAGGGTCAACAGGGCCAGACCGTCAGATGACCCCCTGGCGTTTCCAAAGTTAAAGTGCTAAGTAAAAATTAAGGTACCATATTGCAGGTCATTCAAAACTTTCAACGACGGTCTATTAAAACCTAAAAAAGTAGGTCAAATGGGGTCAAAAGTAGGTCAAAGTAACGAGGGGTGCGCTCTTTGGTGTATCTTTTACCTTTTCAATAAAAAAAACAACATATAATATTTTGTTAGGCAGAAAAGGTTGATAAATGTGATATGTGCATATCAGATCCTGGATCTTTTTCCTGGATCTTGGAAATTAAAAAAAACTGTATTAAAGCCACCACGCGTATACTGTATAGTACAGACCTTACTGAGTATGGTGACCTAATACGATTATTCTATATTAAGTTATTTCAGGCAATTTATAAATCATAACGCAGGCTAATACTGGAAGCCCATCTCATCTGTTTTCAATCCAAACAGAACATAGCAGAAATGTTTTGGGAACATCCACACATCGATTTTAAAGACAGGCTTTTATCTACAGATCGGATAGGGATGTGCCATTTTATGAAGAATTGGCGATTCAATACTACAATATAGTTGTTTCACAACTAAATATAATAATAAAACAAACAGCAACATTTTTTCCTATATGTTCCTTTAAATAATATATTCAACATTTTCAATGTTTTTTCACCATTTTAACTTAATATGATAAATTTAAAACATGTATTTTTACGAGATGTATAAGATTTAAACGTTTTAGAAGATTTACATAGTTTACAGTCTACCTTTATTTGCTTGGTAGTTGAGCGAACTTATGTGCAATTTATCTACAAAAAATAAATGAAGCATGATAAATAAACATCACTGAAATATAAAAATGTCAATACAAACTGTATTCTGTTCATTGCATAAATATTATACAGGGTGATGCTGAAAAAGATCCATATTGTTTATTTTGCTTTACCTTTTTGAAAATACATGGACTTTAGACATATTTTTGCAAGTGATGCAGCAATCAAATTATACAATCAATCCCAACAAAGCACAATCATATCTATATTTGAATGAGTCAGGTAAAAACTTGGATGAATATTGCCTTATTTCATGCATTTATAAATAACAACTTCTTTAATTTGTGGCATTTATAAATGTTATATTTTAAGTTAAGTTTGCATACTTAATATACCCTATAAGGGATGATATGAGAAATAAATATAAAAATAAATAAATTTAAAACATGAAAAATGTAGGCTCAAGTTAGCACTTGGCTAATCTTTTTTACCACAAATATTATCTCAGAATAGTTTTCAATATACGGGCAGATTATCCCAATCACGTTTTTTTGATGCTGAATCATTTTTTCTTTTATCTTAATAATTTGTCTCACATGATATTTGTAATATACAATTTATAACTTCAAAATATAATAAACACCCTAACTAAATGTCTCTCTGGCAGGTTGAATAATATATCTGGTCCTTTTGCATGAGTCTTGACGAATACCACGGTGAAACAGATACGCCAGAATACATTTATTATCTCGACATCCGTCTTTTGCCAAGTCTTTTCAAAACTCTGCACTTCTGTCAAAAATCTTAGCATAAAAAATTCCATGCAAAGAAAAGAATATCTGCACATTTTTGGCCCATCCTGTATTTGTCGACAGGCGCATCCTGGGGAAAGCAACATAATGATATGAGCATTCATTAGAACGCAGTTTATCAGGAACAAAATAAAGGCCAATTCAACCATATCTTCTATAAAGGATACACGGGTAAGTCTGGTCAGTATCGGTATTAATTGGTCACACTTTATGAATCAGGCTCAAAAGTTTCTGAGGTTTAGTGTTTGAAGTATGATTGTAAAAGGAACAAATGAATTTATTTAATCTCATATAAATGCTAGAAAAGTAGATTATCTTTGGGAACTGAGAAAGGAAGTGTAACACCGAACTTTAATAAGAAACTATAAAGATTTCCACATCTGGTCTAACTGGTTACGGTGTTCCATTTTGATTTAGAACAGTTTGTCACTCATTCAGCATACCATTGGAAAGCTTATCTTGTCTTCACTTATTTCCTTAACAATGAAATTAAATCAAATCAAATCAGGGAAATTAAGTACACTTTAATGCTGAATACTAGTATGAATTCAGGAAAATTGCAGCAAACAATCTAGCATGTAAAATCGAAACGCAAACCCATACGTATGGCCAATCGCCCATACAAATGCATCACTTACGTTCACGTTTAGGTTGTGAAAAACAGTACCTTTTACGTGTGTTCTGACCTGACGCGAAATTGGACACTTGTTGTTTCTAACCCAACCCGAGCCTTGTGACCAAAGATTTGGGTCAACTTCGGGTCGGTGTGACACCTCTACTGATTACACCTTTTATGCAAACATGTTAAATAATCATATTTTCATTTCTCTAATAGGAAAACTATGAGGAGATCCACTCTCACTAAAGTATTGGCAATTTTGTCATTGGCCATGATTGCGGACACATCTCTACCATATCCTTCTCATCATGTCATAGATGGTGATTTGTACATCATGGTAATGTTTGGTCTCACAGAGAATGGGTGCAAAGACATTACATTAAGACATTTCCAATATATGGAAGCTGTTGACCTTGCTCTTAAACATATAAACAGGCATCGAGGTCAGTTTGAAGACCTAGGTGTCAAAATTGGTGCAATTTTTATGGATGACTGTTCATCAGCAGAACATGGACTGAAAGTAATTAGAGAATTTTACGAAGGTGATCTGTTGGTCCATGATTCAACTGGTGTCCGTATTGGCCCTGATCAAGTTGTTGGATTTGTTGCTTCCGAAACCAGTGACAAAACTATGAAAGTTGCAGAATATTTGAAGACTACAAAGACAGCTTTAGTGGCTCCATTTGCTACGAGCCCTCAGTTAAGTGATAGAACTAGGTTCCCGTATGTTGTCAGAACTGTACCATCGGACAGTAAGCAGGTAGGAAATTTAATTGATTTTTGCTCTGAGATAGTATCCATCAATTTTCTGCTGAACAAGGTGCCAGATACATGCTGTGGTAAGCCATTGGTTGCACAAGTAGAGAAGTAGACACATTATCAAGATGCATTATACACATATTTAATTCTACTGTTGTGGGTACTTGTGCATCTTTCAAGAGGAATATTCCCTGAAGCCAAGATTGCCTAGAGCAATTTTGTACTAAATGTCTTTACGTATTATGGAAAATGATCTTTGGAAGCGTATTAAATTCTGTTTTTTCAATAACTTTATCTTCTCAGAGATTTAGCAGATTTTAAGCTAAAAATCAGTTTTGCAAAATTCAAGATATATCTTGGTAAAATAGCATGCTCCGAAATACCAGAATATTTTCTATTCAATAAATAAAAAAAATGTAAATGGATGCCTTTTTATCTAAGAGATCATAAACATTATCATTTTTATGTATTTGTAGGGGCCTGCTTTTGCAGCATTTTTCATGAGTCTTGGTTGGCCCAATGTTCATGTTATTGTTGAAGATGAGTCATCGTATGCCAGAGACTTGGCCAATTCATTCAAAGGAACATTTGAAAAGGAAGAACAAGGGAGGTGCATATCCTCTACCCACATGTTAGATGTAAGTGAAATTTTCTATGTTTTAACAGATAATCCTGTATGTTGATTTTTTCTGTCCTGATTGTCTACATCTTTTTTGCATGCTTGACGGTAAATACTCTTCTACAATGTAAGAACTTTTAGAATTTTTACAAAAATGTAGATCACTGAATTTCCTCCTATTTATATATTAAAACATCTAATAACCCTCTTTATCTAAAACTAAACAAGATAAGCCTAGATACACAATGATAAATATCACACTTTGTAGACCAAAATGGTCGACATGTAATTTACCCAGCATGCCCAAAACCTAATCAGGTTAGGTTTTGTATCTGTAAAATGTTAAGTGTTTTTTGGACAAATTCAAAATGGCCACTAAGTAATTTACCCAGCACGCTCTAAACCTAATCAGATCTTGGCAGTAGTCTGCGCTTTCATCTGTAAAACGTCAAGTTGAACAGGTAAGTGGCGATCCTGATGACAAGATTTGGTTTATGTGGCGCCCGCCTGCCCAGATCCCCTTCAGTCGGCACAAGACGACGACGTATAGCCCTATTTCAAAGTGCAATAGAAATGAAGACCATGCATAAAATGAGTTATATGTACCTGAAAATAACATGGGGAAGCCATAAAGATATACAAACATGTGAACATACCTCAAAAGGTAATCCTGCAGAACTTAAACAATTTAAAACATGTATTACTCATTTTCAGGTCACACGGCGGATGTATCACTACGAACAAATAATTTCAGCTATTATAAACACCACCTCCAAGACTGATATCGTTTTGCATTTGGCATCAAATTTCCATGTAAGAGCATTACTAGAAACCAAGGAAAAATACCTTCGAAATCCAAAGGGAAAACGTTAGTTCATTTCTTAAATGTTTAAATAAAATTCATCTGGTACATACCAACCCTCAGACTGCCCTCCCATTCATCAGTGCCACCTTTTGGCTATATTCGGTATAAGCACTTGAAATTACTTGGAAAACTACTGAATTATCGAATTGTTTATTCATTTTTATTAATGAGTAAAAAATTATTATTTTCACATGAATAAAAAACCTTCAAATGTTGATGTATATGTCTATAACTTGCAGGTCTCATATTGATTGGGGCAGAGGGATGGGGAAGAACTGAAAGTTTTGTTCAAGGTTATGAAAAGGCAGCCAAAGGCTCAATATCAATAGGTCTGTATGGAGAACCTGTCAAACGTTTTAATGTGCATATGTCAAAACTTAGGTGAGATATCAATTTTAGGTTCATTAAAGTATGTACTTTAACATAGAGTAACATAATAAAGTGAAAATAAAAAATACTAATGTACAATAACTTTAGTCCCTTGTGGAGAACAGGCGACCAGGCATTTGATATAATTATTATGTTAAAGCTCGGGCAAGATTGTGGACAAATCAATAATCATAAAAACCTATTCTGCACATATGTACTTCAATATTGGTTTACTTTTTTCTGCAGATTTGGTAAACCTTCTTCCCGAAGTGTTCACACTGACTTGTACTTCAAAGAAAAGTTCAATTGTGATAACAACTGTTCAACTTACATGATTTTAACAGATCTTCCGACATATAGCCAAGACACATTCGTACTGCAGGTAATAAATGCCGTTTTTGCGCTCGGCAAAGCTACAACTGAGAGATTTAAAGAGAAGTGTGGCAGAAACGCCACAGCTGTATGTGTTGACTTTGGTACTGCATTTGGAGTGGAATTTACAGAAGCTTTGGACAACATGTGCTTCACGGGCATTGATGGTATATGACATTTAATATCATTTCTGTCAAAATGTCACTTCCTCCAAATAGTAATTAAAATGAAGCAATTTGTAGCAGATGCCAATCACTTACCACTAACACCAACACCTAAATTGGAATATCAGTCATAAAATAAGTGGGTGGAGCTTGACAACAGCTAGGCACTTTTAAAATTTAAAATGCAAATTTCTTATTTAGCGGACTCCTTCTGTTTTATGCCATGATATAAAGCAATATTCATTTTAGAGTACAGTAAAAATTTCCAAAGTTGTACATTGTAGGCCAAGATGTTGCAATTCGTGATCGGGAGAGTTACAGGGCTTATAATTTTTACTACTGGCAAAAGGATGGGACTCCAATCAAGGTAACGACCTATATATAATGTTAGGAAAGCAAAGAGCGCTGATTTAAAAAGACTAATGCAATATAACATGCTATTTCATTTTTGGGGATTTTTCCATATATGTACATATGTGCATAATGTACAATGACTTTTTCTTATCATTCTTTATTCATTCAAATCATTCACATTTCAGATTGGTAGATCAGGCACAGAGGGAAGGACTTATACACCAGATCCGAAACATTCAAGCTTTCCAGAGGGCGGCTATTACGACAACTTGCCACGATCTGAATGTCCCAAAAGTAAGATATTTTCACTAAAATTATCAAGTAATCGTAAAAATATAACTAGAGACACCTATCTGTGACTTAAACTTAAAGACTCATCTTTGTAATATCACAAGACACTATACTCAATCTTAAGATTTGGGTTTTTCAGAATGGAGTGGCTATTTCTGTAAAAGATGTAGATTGGGTAGAAGTAAGAATAAGCGTTGGAACTGTAAGAATAAGTGTTGGAACTGTTCACAGACAAGGAGGGATGAATACACAAAATGTGATGCATGTATTCCATTTGAGGAGGAATTCAAATGCTTTAACTGTGTGAAAATATGATATGCCAGTAATTTTTACCATGTAGTAGATGTATATGATACAAAATAGCAGACAATAAAAATTGAATGTATCACATTAATAAGCATTTTCTTCTCATCATCCTCCGATCACAGGGCTTCAAGATCCAGAAGATCCCCCCCCCCCCCCCCTGCGATGATCAGTCAGCAATGTTATTCAGGTGGCAAAATATTGTTTTCAAAAATTGTCAAATCTTTTCTCGAACAAATATAATCTAAATGTGCTTTCAATATGCTTTAATGTTTCAAAATGAAGCAAAATTGTGTGTCTATCTATCGTAGGTTGAAAATAAGTTTTATCTTGTTTTAAATATTAATGTGATATCATGATTCAGAGTGCCATATTTTCTTCAAAAGTTATCAATTTTTTTTCTGATAAATCCTTTTCTAAATACACAAAGCAATGTTGGTGGATTAAAAAAGTACAATATATGTGTATCATTCTAAATATTTCTATACCATTGGTTTGAATGAAAATTGATTTTAAATTGCAATTTATATGAACAACTTGTCTGCACCTCACTGACATACTCATGGCCAACCTTTCTCCGATGTTGTAAACTGTTTTAAAAGAGCCATTTAGTTACGCTCAACATTTTTCCGTATGGAAAATACATGAATTAAAATATAAGAATAACAGTTACACCATATTAGTCCAGTTCTTGGCACTATGCCGCTGTGAAAGAAATTATGTTACCCCAGGGATTATGGTCCCCTTTTTAAAGGCCCTTACTGGCCCTGATTGTGTTTAAGATAATAAGAGAAAGAGGACTCCATATTAATCAATGGAGAGTACGACCATAGATTAATAGGACCTCCTACCCTTTTACCCTTTTAATGCATCGTCAGATACGCAACTAACTATACGCAACTAACATTGCATTCGTGTTTACGAAACCACTGTTCATATCATAGCAGGTGTTTAGTTTAAAATATTAGACAATCAAAATAACAATAGTTTATACTCGGTTATTGAGTGAGTTTCCTTATTTCCAAATTTATTAATATCAAAATAATACATATAATATTACCATATGTTTTATTCTAAATCAGTTATGTTTCTCTAGACTACCAGAATAGTTATTTGGCAGAGTAATTAAACAAACTAGAAAGCCAGTGAAAAGCAGTGAAAATACATGTACAGTGAAACATGGAATTCTAATAAAGTTTCTACTGTTCAAGAGTGAGACAAACACAAAATCAAGCACATATATCAAATAAAATCAATTTTTGATTTTTGAAATTGATTTAGAAATTATTTAAAATTTTAAAAAGCAACCGCAGATTTTTCCAAAATTTTAACTCAAAATATTTTGAATTTTTACTTTCAAGGTTACGGAATTACGGAGAAACTCTCAGGAAAATATTATTGAACCAAAAGACGTTTTACTTTTACTTTTGATTTACGCTCAATTGTCTACAAGCTATTTCTTAAGGAAGTAGCTTAGGCTTAAGCAAGTTCCCTACATCATAGACCAAAGATTTTATTATTGGTACAAAATTGAAGTTTCTCTAATCTGAGATTAACTCCCCTTACTTGAGGAGAGTTTTCCTTTTGAAAAAAATCCTCTGAAAGGAAAATCAGATATATGGATGGACAAACCTCAATTTTTATGTTCCATGACGCTTTACACAATGTTAATTTTATTTAAACTTGTTTCTTGCATATGTAAATGTAATAGAACTCATTTCTTGTCTCTCGAATTTTCTTGATGTATCAAGTGCTAGCGTTATTTGATCCTTTTTCCATCAACATATTTTCATTTTCATTTTCATTACTAACTACTTCTAACGTGTTTAAGCCATGTCGTTTTCCACGCAAATACGGAACTATCATACAGATTGAGCTAATGACTATGATTCCTCCTCCAACGAAAAAGGAGGTGTTGTATGAAAGTAGCATATCATACATGAATCCAGCAGCTGGGCCTCCGAGCATTGTCCCAACTGCTTCAAATGTCAGCAGGACACCATACCCTGTAGCCAACTCTTCAGATCCAAGAAACTGACATATAATTCCCGGTAGAAGAATCCCAAATGCTGCAGAACAGAAACCAAATATGGCAGAGTACGCTAATAGCGTTCCATAATGCGTGAGGAATGGTACCAATAATGTAACTACACCACATATAAAAAATGAACATGAGTAACCAAGTATATCATTGGTCAAGGGATGATTTCCAATAAATCCATACGCAAATCGTCCAATCAGGTTTGAGATACCCATCACTGAAAAGAGCATGGTGCTTTCCCGTGCTCCCATCCCAATGTCTATTGAGTATTCTGCCA